ACATCACTCTTGTATAATCGTCACAATCATTGTTATAAGCACAAGAAACGATTATAAACACAATTCCATGTATTATAATACATACAAAAACGTACATTCACATTAAATCGTCAGACTTATGAAATGATCTAAGTATTACATTCATTAGTTTAGGAGCGAATTTTTTTTCTATCTTTTGAACACAGTTTAGTGTGGCGTACAGCATCACCGACAATTTTACCAAAATTGCGAATACGATTACAATATATGCTTCACACAAAATGCGTATGCAGCTTTTTAAAATTTATCGAATAAAAGTGGATGTTTTAAAAAATTTTGGTGAAATTGCCGTTAAGCTACGATAAAAGTGATATATAACTCTGGAGTGATTTTCTTTCTTCACTTTGTTTCGCAATATTCGTTATTTCAAGTTAACGCAGATTCCAAGTCCAGTAAGAGTTAAGAACACTCATCAATTCGGCATGCCACTGGAAATGCAACGCAATTTTTCTTTTATTTAAGAGTTATATTTTAAAAATTAATGTTTACAAATTTTAAATACCTGTACATTTTTATTAAATCGTTTTATTTTATATAAATTTCGGTTTTTTTTTTTTACAAGTGTGGTAAGTATATGAAAATATATGTCACAAGTTCAACGTTGATTCCTAACAATGTATTAAATTTGATTTGATAGTATAAAATAGAAAACAGTGTTATACACTGATTCAATGTCTATTACATCTATTTTTATAAATTGAATTAAATTAACAGATTGTATAAATTTATTTTTTGACAGAGATAACATGTACTAACCACACTTTGTTAAAGATTCATGTTTTTAATACATACTATTCCAACAATTGCAAAAAAATTTATTAAGTATATATTTAAATTCTTTTTTTTTTTTTTTTTTGCTTGTGTTATATGCAAAACATCTGCAAAAAATATGTATTCAATCTCAATTTAAAAGTAAATATATTGAATTACTTAAAACTGTAGTTGATAGGATATTTATTCATTTATTCTGGGAAATGTGAGATTTTTTTTATTGCACTAATTCTCTAAATAGCTAAATTTGATGATGGCTGAATACAATTGCAATACCAAAGGAACCATTTTCACTAAAAATCATATTATTCCAAAGATGCTTGCTCCAACCATCCTTAAAATATGTCGCATAAATAACGTATTAACTATGTTCAAAAATTAATTATCAACATTATATGTCTTATTTTATTGGACCAAGTAAATGCAGCCTTCTAGAATACTTGTACGCAATAATCTTAAATGAGATACTAAGTATTATTATAAAACGTATAAGTTGATCCAATTTTTTATTTATTATACAAATGATCAGATCCATTAAAATTTTATTACTATATATATCACGTTTAGAAGGCTTTCTCTGTTCTATAACATGTAATATTAATTTAGTATCAAAAATAAATACAAAAATTTCATAAAAGAAAAGTGCAAACAATTATATGCAATTTATTTTTATTTTAAATTGTTTCATTTACGCTGGAAAATCAAATAATGCAAAATATCATTAAAATTATTTTATAAGTGGTTCGGTTGCATTTCCATTGATAGGCCAGATTCAGAACAGAGTCAATACAGTATGTCTCTTGTTATCAGGCGCGAAAACCTATACAATTAGGTATACCAATCAGTATGAATTAGTAACTTTTTAAAGAAATCGTTTGATCTATTGGACGCAGCAGGAGTTTTTTTGTCCATTTTTGAGCTTCAACCGAGACTTGGGACGATATTTCTCAAGATAGGCCAGCTGCTTTGAATTGATGGCTCCTCGTCTTTTGCTAGATAAATAAATATCATTTTTATAATTATAATAAAATAAATGATATATGAAAACTAAGAAAATTCAAATATATATACTCACTCTCTAATTAACGCGACTGCATCTTCATATTTTAGTCCCAATTCAATAAGAGCAAGTGCAACTAAGACCGGTGCTCTACCAAGTCCTGCAACACAATGTACTGCCACACATGCATCTGGAGACTCGCGGAATCGATTTTTTAGCAATTCAAACCATTCATCGATAACCTGAAAATCGATGAAAATTTAATTATGTTATTAAAATCTAATAATTTCTATGTTATTTTAAGAATTTCTAAGATGTTATATAAAATAATAATATTTACTTCATTTGGTGGAAATGTACCATCATCAAATACCAAATCTATGACATTGATCCCTTCTGCTTTAAGTTCTTCAATTTTGTACGTTGGTTCACAGACCCTCACTACTTCTTTGACATTGTGCTTTTTTAATTCCTATTGAAAAAAAATTTATTCTATTTATATTGATTTTCATCAACAAGATTTATTTTTAAAATAAACAAGAAATATACTTGAATAAAAGTATGAATGGTCTGATCATTGGGCCGATCAGTAATGAGGAACTTCATGTTTTTGTATTCGATTTCGGCGGGCTCCGGTCTGATGTCCTTCACCCTCATGTTGCTCATTTCCTTTTGGACAACAAGTGGTGTAAAACTCCTACTTTTTTATTATTTTAACTTTTATGTTTTTAATAATTTTGTACGACACTGTTTCTCTTTATTTTTGCAATTTTTGCCACACTATCAAGCAACAAAGGCTGAATTTGACAACTTAGCCCATAGATGTCAGTCTTATAAAGTTATTTCTCATTTAACTAATTGAATACTTTGTTATTTTTTTACAGAGGACAGAACAATGGGTTTACATGTAGACCTCGAGAAGGGTTGTTAAGGTGCAAATTTCACTGAAAGGGTGAGGGCTACGTTACATTAGGCGTTGTTGATATGCGATTGATTCCCACTTGGGATCCTTGACTATGATTCGGAAGATAATCTGAAAAGAGACGAGTGTTAGTGTTGATTTTTGGAAATTTTATATTATGTGTAACAAAAATTAATAGTAAATCTTACCTATTTGGCACTGGGTGCGCCTGGATCAGGTGCGCTCAGTAACTACAATGCTTGCATTTAATATTGTAAATTAACAATTGATTCTATTTAATTCTTCTATGTTTTGCGTGATGACTAGCTGATGATTTTCTGACTTTGAGGCAATGATCCCAATATTATAAAAATTTTTTTTGCCTGATTAAGATGTTTTTTCCTTATTTCTTTTTTAATAGTACCTAGCAAATTCTAGGATATTTGGGCGTGTCTCTCTACTTGTGTTGAGCCTGGCAGTATTCTGCACTATCCAGCTGAAACTCCATGTATGTGAGGATGCACTCACCAGGAAACTGTAACATAAATATATAATTTGATTATTAATTATTTCATTTTATTTATTTTTTTAAAAGTTTAAAACTTTTTTAAAGAATTATCTTCATAAAAGTAACCAATCAGTTTGATATGAATATAGGTTAGGTCTACGATATTAAACGTATCTTACATATTTTTAAAAAAATATGAATATAAAATAATAAACCTAATAATTATAACGAAGATTATATTTTGAGACATTATAAGATATTTTTGTTTTATTTGCAATAAGAAAGAGATTACAATTGTGAACGTTTGACACGTGCCAAACCTTGCGCCAATTTTCGCAATTATCTATTGTAAGCAATAAATATTTAATAAAATTCTCACCCGGAAAATTGTAAACAATTGTGATAATACTTTGCCACGATAATTCATTACGAACACTCGGCAGGAAAAATTTATTTCACTGAGAAAAAATGTGTTCGACCACGCAAATTCCAGAGGATCTGCGTTGTCATAATGACATTAGTCGACATCTCGAAGCTCGAGTAAAATCGATTAGAGGTAAAGCTTACATACCAAACTAGTACAATGTGTATTATATATATTATTTTAGAAAATTCTAGTCAGCTATTTTTATTAATTAGTTAATTAGTATTTCTAATAAAAAAAATTAAATTAATAAAAAAAATTATAGAAGAAATATAATTATAAAAAAAATTATACTTATAAAAATTAAAACAAATTATAATTATTTATTCACAATTCAGTTATATACAATAAAACAATAATTTTCAAAAGGAGGAAAGGACATTGATTATCATGTTAAAAATATTTTTTAAATTTATCAGTGGCGCTAGTCGCATGATCGCATTGTCTATATAATAGTATTCAAACATTTCAATTAGCGTCAAAGAATTTTTCCTTTATCTTTGGCATGAATATTTTGTATAGATGCCAAACGAAGCAGATAGTTTAAATGCAAAGAAGTGTTTTCGTTCATTTTATGCACTAGATTTTTTAGAAGTTTGTATTAATTGTCTAGGTCAACATTTCGAAGACAAAATTATCTACCGAAATATCTTTATATTTTTACATACGCAAAATTTAATTAAATGAACCTTTTCGTAACAATTCAATCTAGTTTGATATATTTTATTTTGATAATTTTTAATTAAAAATTTTTCATTCAAATATGAACATATTCATTAACTAATATATATAAATGAAAAGTTATATTACATTTATTTTCTACTAGATTTCATTAATAGAAAATATATGAAAAAACTATACCAACAATTTTTTAAGTAAAAATTAATATTACAAAATTGTATTTCAAACCTTTTTCTCGTAATTGATGTTCATCAAGTATCAGATTTATATTGGATTAAAGCTCAATTATTATTTTTATCCACTATTTTCTATTAAAAGAACTTTACAATGTTACAATTGTCAAACACTTCGAATTTTTTTTTTTTTTTTTTTTGCGCGCGAAGACCCGGTTG